TCCGTGTGTGAAGCGAAGGCTTTGCCAGCGAGGCCACGGGACCACTTTCTACGATTTAATAGTGACCAAAAAGCATCTACTTTGGTTTGTATTGCCTCTGTAATATTAAAAAAGTTACATTTATCTCTTTAACGATGAATTAAAGCTATTTTAAAAACTGTTTTTTTTTTACTAATTTTATTTACTATTAAGGTTTCAATACTTCTTTATTAGGCATCACTGATGAGGGATCTTCAAATGATTCACCCATTTTCCTCCAATTTTCAGAAAACCTCATCTTGGCTTCAGATCTCCACTGCTGACCAGGGAAATGTGCGCACAACTGCCATGCGCAGCTGCGCTCTGTTCAGTGGTATATACAGATAGTGGAAAATGTTATAATTTTCCTGAAATAAGTGTGTAAAAAAATAAAAGTATGATAATATTTACAAAATGTAGTGTGACTTTTGAAAAGTTTAAAGTTATAAGAGAACCAATGGATAAGTGTAACGTAAAAATGGCGGAAAAAAAAGTCAAAGTGGAGAGAGAGTCGCCGAATTGAGTCGTGGAAACTTAGCCGATGAAGAGTGTATCTGCAATAATTAGGGAGCATGAAGTAAGTGAATGTCGTTGGCATCTGTACTTGTTCAGATCTACATGAAAAGAGCCATAATAGGGCTGTTAAGTTGTAAAAATGAGTCGTGTGTTGACACGATAAAGACGTTATCGCGGGGATAGAAATATGTTTTTGCATCGTAGTGAGTTATTTCTCACACAATAGGTAATATAGCTTTTGTTGGCCATTATTAGTTATTTTGCCTGCCTATAGAGGCGTTAGGATGTATAAACCAAGGAATAATTGGGTGAATCTTTTCCATTGTTTTTGTACATTTATATGTGGTTGGTAATATGAATACATAAAATGAACTTTAAATTCTGACTAAGACCCGCGTCAGGAAACATTTGTCCTGTTTCCTGACGAACCTTACCTAACCTAACCTAACTTTAAACGTGGACCAACAAATTGATGAATGTAATCAAGTCATTAGTAATTTCATACGGTCTCCAACATAATTTACCAGTGCTACAGGTTTAATTTTTCTTGTAATAATTCTGGAATTATTATGTTCCTAATCAGGAGGTGCAGATTGTGTTAGGGAAGGTGGGCATCCAGGGACGACTGATGCCACTCACTCTTCCTCAAGTCCCACCTGTCTCTGAGGTACAACTAATATAACATTTAAGTGCAATGTTTGTTTTAGTTATGAACAGTTCTATCCAAATTGTGTGTGTAATAACTTAGGATTGTACCTGTAAACCTCACACACATAATTTCTCACAGATATTCAAGGCTCTGGTTTCAGTGCGATAAGAAATTTTTTTCTGATCATCTTCAAATTTTAAATAATGGTTTGTACTACTTAAAAGAAGGTTGGTATTACTATTAGATATATTGTGAAAAATGTTTTAGCATTTTTCGGATTAGTCATTAATAAATAGTATTAAAATGTACTCAATTTCAGAAACAGTACTTTAATTATAGAATCCTAGTTATTTAACACTGGGCTTCCGCTACTACTAAATTTCCTAGTAGACATGTTCATTCTGATTCACGTTTCAGTTTATTAATGAGAAACAGATAGTTAATGGACCTAGGGGCAAAATTATATTATTATTATAATCAAGGGGAAGCGCTAAACCCGCAGGATTATACAGCGCCCAGGGGGGGGGGGATGTGGAAGGCATTCAGGCTTAATTCGGGGAACCGGAGCACAGATCCAACTCCCTAAATCAAGAGCCCCTCACCAACATCAAGGAACCTTCCATGAGGGGCCTAGGGGCAAAAGTTCTATAATTAATTAAGCATAACCGTGAGCTGTGACTCTAAGTCGACGGCATCCCTACGAATACTGGGGTGTTCCCACGAACACTCAGGTGTACCTACGAACACAGGTGTTGCTGCAAACACTCGGGTGTACCTACGAACACGTGTTCCCACGAACACTCAGGTGTTCTTACGAATACTGGGGTGTTCCACGAATACGGGTGTACATACAAACACTGGGATATTCCCACGAACACTGGGGTGTACCTACAACACTCAGGTGTTTCTACCAACATTCAGGTGTTCCCAGGCACGGAGGACGGCAAAAACAATGGTTGGGTCAGACCCTTCAACGGGATTTTAAGTATCCCGATAAAGTTTTCCTCACCATTAAATAGTGTGGGCAAATACCACGACCCGAGGAACAGCTGGATATATGTTGGCAGTTGTGACCAAAGATGTAACCAGAGGCGTGGTCACCCTCTAACTGGAAACTGTTCTTCAAATTTCTGCACCTCCCAGGGAAGTAACACCTCAATTTTTATTTCATCTTAGCCTTTAATCTTAACAGTGTTATTAATTTGTGTTTATTGTGAGGTAGAAGCGTACAAGATATATAGATTACTGATCGTCAGTAAATGTCAGTGCAATTAATTTAATATGGTTCTTGGAACATAGTTTCAAGCTCTGTGTACCTTGGTGTTATTAACACCAGAGGATCTACAGTCCTCCTTTTAATTAATTATAAGTCCATGGGTGATGTGGGGATGTGCAGATCAAGGCAATGAGGGAGATACTTGAGCGCTGACCTGCTATAAATAAGACCCTTCAGGACACTATAATTCAGATCCTCTCACTATTTCCCCATAGGTATGTTTACTATGCATCGACTTGAGTATACCTCCTTTTGCAAGGTTACAGCTCTGGTTACTGCTGTTATCATTTCCAATTAACAATACTATCACACTGAAGCTTACTTGCATTCCTGGCCTAGTGTTCAGTTCCAGCACCTGGTAACCTAGTCAGGAGAAAACAGGGATCATTTGCACAAGTACTCATGATAATAAGGTCACTACGACCACCAAGTTTTTTCACGTTACATACATCCACTTCCAGCAAGTGGGGTTCGACCCATATTTTTTCAGAAACATTGCTTTGACAATGGGAGCGAAGGGGAATTATTATTATAATCAAGGGGGAAGCGCTAAACCCGGAGGATTATACAGCTGCGAAGGGGAATGAAAACATAATCATATCTTGGGTTTTATTGCACAACGGAACCACTTAATAGAAAAACTAAGTTTACAGCGTAAAAGTAATGAAAAGAATAAGAAATGGAGAGGACAGTGATAAACTCCAGACCTCAAATAGCTTCTCCAATTCAGTACCCAAAAAAATGCAAGGTAATAATGCGTTTTGGAGAAGGTGAGGACAGATCAAAGAGAATACAGCATGGGCAGAGAAAAGCTGAAAATATCAGTGAAAAGGGCCTGGTGGAGAAAGGAACACTAGCATATCGTCAGAATTGCAGAAAACCCATATAACGGCGGTGACACATGCAGGATTAGTAAACCTCAAAACAGCTTTTAGAAATTTGAATAATCGCTTATAATCTTATATTCAGCATAGGCAAATCACTGAGTATACGTGCCTCATGACAAGAGATCAAACCATACATGTTAATGTGTCATACTTAGATATTTAGGAATTTAACTGCATTGTAAATTTGTTATTCTTTCTACCATTCCTTCTGCGTGTATTAGAGTAGAGGGACTGGATTTATTGGATCCAGTAATATTTTTCTCGGATCACTCAGCAGCCGAAATACATCGGGTTATCTTCATACTATACAAAACTCCTGGTATATACATGCACGAACGTATACACGTTAATAATAGTATGATAAAGAGAAGTCGCATTGTCATATACACCATGTATACGCCTCTTAGTGTGTATATGCTTTGAGAGCTTACTTTAATCCCCATTTTAGGGATTAAAGTGTTCTTGACAGGTGGTAGAATAAATTACGTGCAACCTTAATGACCCTCGCGTAGTCTGGTAACTTTAAATTTAATTAATCAAACGACCAGAAGTTATTCACTGTAAATACTGAGTGTCGGTGTTAGCCCATCCACTCAATTACACACAGTATTGATTCACAGTTGCTAAGAGAGTCAAATTGGTGATTGTTTAACGAGGTTTAAACATTGATTGTAGATCATCAGTAATAATAACATAGTATTGAAAAGTTACAAACCATATAAAAGATAAATATAAAAGGAAATCGCTCTTATTGCGTGCACAATGGCTTTCTCAAGTTAGCAGAGATTTAAGCATATCCACTGAAAGCTTTCTGTAACAAAATAAGCTTTACATCCCCAATCCTTCAAGAAGTTGCCTTAATACTGGTAAAGGGCTATTGATCAATCGAATCGGGGATACTTTCCTCTTTGATAAGACTTATTCTGATGCTATATAACTCCTATTGGTTTAATTTTACATTATAATAATCTACATTGCTAAGGTAACTTTATAGCTTCATTCTGCAGCCTAGTATAATAATCTATATCGCTAAGAGCCTCAGCGTTATTATGCAGCTTAGTATAATAATAATAATAATAATAATAATCTGCATCACTAAGACAGCCTCCTAGCTTCATTATGGAGCCTTATATAATAGCCTTAGGCTCGTGTAGCCTCGTATAACAGCCTTAAGCTTATTATGGAGCCTAGTGTAATAGCTTTAGGCTGTTACGTAAAAGGACACAAGTGCAACTAATGTGACATTTTCTTGTGGCAACGTTTCGCTCTCCACAATAAAATGTCACATTAGTTGCACTTGTGTCCTTTTTACTTAACATATTGTCCGTAATTCTACCACCGTTAATAGCTTTAGGCTCATTATGTAGCCTAGTATAATAACCTTAGGTTCATTATGCAGCCTAGCATGATATGTCGCCTTAGGCTCATTATGCAGCCTGGTATAATAATTTATATCGCTAAGGCAGCCTCATTATGCAGCTTAGTAAAGATCTGCCTGACCGCTCAAACTTCTGTATGTCAGTTTGCAGAGAAGTACTTAAAAGATTTGCTGACTACACATGTGTAGTTATAAAGTAACTTATAATACTAATATGATCCTTAGCTCTGCTAGCTCATCCCATTAGGTATAATTAAAAAAATCTAGTTACTTTGGGTCGTATTTTATTTTATATAAAAATAACATAGAATTTGATACACAATGTACATTAATGGACAATTTACAATATTTCCCATTGAATTCTTTTGTATAAATATACCAAAAGCTTTATAGATGAAAAAAATCATGGCAGAACTTTAAACAATTAGAAATACACCAAATAAATATATTTATTGTGTTCGGGAGCAAAAGAGGCAATATAATTAAAGCCCGGTAAGTGTGGCAGCAGCAGCAGCAATAATGCGCACCGACTTTGGGGGGTTATCTTAGGTTAAATCTGCATATTTTACCACCTTTCTATGCCTATTACTATTATGTACGTGTTTATTGCAAGATTGTATAACCATTCTTTAAAACCCAATGAAGTGAACCTAAATAAAACTTATCTTACCAATCAGTAGCCACAACCCAGCACGCTGATTCTTTCATGTATGCTAAACGTCCACTTCTGGGTCAACACTCACACTGGCAGCGTTGACATCATTATTATTTTAAATAAACTTACTCACAAGGCCTTTGGGTCGCTCGTGTTAAAGCTGTACACCTTGCGTGTCTCGTAATTTTTGGTAAAGGTTCGCTTTTTGGTTCCGTCTGGAAGCACTTCCTCGTTGGATCCCTCAGCATGACTCTCCTGCTCAGAGCGTGTCTTGCTACCCACTACAGAACCATCTGTACCCTTCAACTCTGTGTTTTCCTTTAACACACGATTAGTACGTGTGACGCCTGGTGCAGGTTTATCCTCCCAACGTTTCTCTTCGCGTTCTGTTACGTTTTTACCGGTGGTGATAACGTCACGGCTAGTAGATACTCCTGCAGGAGGGCGAGCCAAAGCACTGGAGGGTGTAGAAATGTCTAGACTTGTGGACATCGAAGGAGGCGACGTCGCTGGTTCCATTCCAGACTTCAGTGAATGGCGACGCATCATATCTTCCATCTCTCGTTGAGACTTTTCCACCATATCGTTGAATGAGGACCAATGATCTGAAGAATGTTCTACCACCTCGGTGTGGAGCGGCGTGTGTGAGGTGTTCTTCGCTCTATTTTCGTGTAAGGGAGTGTGGGACAGGTAGCGTTTATCAGCCCCATTGCGTTTATCTGACGTGTCCGAGGAGAATGTGTCCCGCTGAGGTGATGACCTAGGGTTACTGGAAGTCCTGCTGGTAGAAGCGCTGTTCTTGTGGCCTCCAGTAATAGGGATGCTACGCTGACCCGACGTAACATGGCTAGCCTGTCACACAATTCTTAACATAATAATACTAGGCTCTACTGCAGCAGGAGAGGTTAGCATAACTAATGCAAAATAATGAAAAACTAAATCAACTTCTAAATATGAACTACTTACATATCTTTTACATTAGCCTGATTTCTACTTCTACAAGAAAACAAAAAGAAAAAAATAGATTAGTATTGCTCATATACAGATTAACTAGAATAATTTAGGTAGCTTTCTTAGGTATATCTTAGTCTAGTAAACATTTAAATTGACTGTCTTATCTCAGTATCTTGCACTGTTAATGCACTAAGAGGTGTATATCTCGTAGTGTACATACACTTGAGTTTCCTTTCATACTTATTATTTGCAATAAAGTATTCTTAACTTGTGGCAAACAGGCTACATGCAGCTTTAATATTAAGACCCATAAGCTTCAACTTCAATTAACCAACCACCCATGTTCTTGCCTGACTAACTTGGTTGATTGTGTTTAAAGCCTATCGATTATACGAAGCTCAAAAAGTGCCTATAACCTGTCCACCACCAGTCACTAAAGTTAAATTCATTAATAGGGATTAAAGTAAATTCGGTGTAAATACACTGAATATATATATATATATATATATATATATATATATATATATATATATATATATATATATATATATATATATATATATATATATATATATATATATATATATATATAGGCAAAGGCAAATATAAGTTCTTGTTCTAAGCTAAAAAATGTCGTATAGATAAGAGAATAAAACATGTGCTGTATCTAATTTTGATAATAAATGAAGGTAGAAAAAAATAGTTGTAATATTATCTAATGTTGTACTGATTTATAAGACCACTCTTAAATAGATAATTCAATAGTTATTAGTTTAATATCCTTATCTAATTCACCTTAGTTTGATTAAACAAACCTCTACCGGATTAAATAATTAAATGTTCGTAGATAATTTTGTGATACCTTTAGTGTAGAATTGTGCGTTGAGTTGTACAAGGGAAAGAAGGGAGGGGGCGCATAAGCACAAACTTGGAAGGTCCAAAAAGCATGAGACATTTATTCAGGCCTTTATGTTGACACAAAAAAAAAAAACTTTTTTCTGATTATTATCCCCCAGGATAGCACAATAAAGCCATTGTTGCTTATTTCCACTAGTTTTTTATTTCTTTCCCCAGGATGCGACTGATAGTCGACTAACTGGCAGGACTATAAACCCCAACAAAGAAGGAAACTCGGACCCGCAACTTCCACATGTAACCTACACACACATCTGCGCCGGCCTTGGTGTTCGTACCTCTCATTCTACTACTGTCTAGAGTAGTAGTGAGGAATTTTCGTCGTTTTCTTCCACTGACACCTGTTCACACCCCGCTGGGCAAGTATTATCTGATAGTTATAATTATAACCATAATTTTTAAAGGAATCGAGGAGTAAGCCAGCGGAAGGCCTAGGTCCGATAACCAAAGACTCCAGTAGCGGATTATCGTATAAGACGCGCGTCAGGAAACCCCGATGGGCAGTTGGTGGAAGCTCTACGAATTTTATAGCATATGAAACGCTGATTTCTGATTATAAGTATGTTTGCATATGTGTATGGGTTTTTGGCTCTGTCCGGGGTCTGTGTAAGGGAGTCCACCTGATATAATTAGGAACAATTATTCCTGTTACTGTTTCTGAAGTAAACCTTATTATCTTCCCAATTCCCGAGAGATTTGGGCAATATATTTTTCCGTTAACCTGAGGGAAGGAGGGATCAATATGACGTAAACTATGCTGACCCTCTAAACCAACATTTGTTGAGTATTGTTTGGTGTGATGCGAGTTAAGGTATACAGTAATGGAGCCTCGGGCGCCACCAGCCTCCACAACACTTGAATCAAGTCTAGCAATACCGACAAACTGTGAAAAAACGCGCTTATGCAATACTTAGGACATTTTATTTCGAGAGTTTCGCCACTAGGAGGCTTTAGCAAAGCTCCCAGTTGGCGAAACATATACTCAAATAAACTATGACTTAAAAGGGTTGCATACATGTCTTTCACAACTTCAACGTGTATTTCACTAACCCGCCCCTGAGGGGGGTAGCATTCTTTAGAAAAGGTTAGGCTTTGAAATGAGCTGTGGTAGGATAACATCTCAGCCTGTAAAATTGTGCGAAAAAAAGACACACCACACCAATTCATGTAATCAGGAGTTAAAGAAACCTTGATGTAGTATTGTGTATATTTGGTGTATATATGGTGTAGAAGCAATATATATTTATATTTGGCGTAGAAACAATATGTATATTGTAGAATATATTTGTAAATATGGTGTAGAAGCAATATGTATGTATATATGGTGTAGAAGCAATATGTATGTATATATAGTGTAGAGGCAGTATGTATGTATATATGGTGTAGAAGCAATTTGTACGTATGGTGTAAGAGAAGCGCTTAATTTAGAAGGGAATTATAAAGAGTAACTTACAAGCTTGGGAGCATTGATGGTGAGGACACCATCCCGGGAGAGAGCAGATGACACAGCATTGAGGTTGACTATGGGAGGAAGCATAAAGCGACGGGTAAACATCTGTGTAGAGATAGCGTTTCCTTCCTTCTTCTCTATCTTTCCCTCCACCACCACTGTGTCGTCCACAATCTTTACGTTGATGTCCTCAGGTTTGAAGTCTTTCACGTCGATCATCATCTGTAACGTTAAACAGCTTGTTGAGTCAGCTGGCAGGGAAGTTTAGTTCAATTGCTTCACTGTGCACCCCATACCCATGGTGTGGGCTGGAGTCAAAAGATTAGAGGTAGATAATGAGTCCAGGGACTGGGCTCCAATGTTTTCATAGCTAAGTAAGTTACACAGGCAATGAACTATTTACAAGTTTATGGTCCCATTTAAAACATTATTTGGCCGGTAAGGAACCTAGTGAGTTGCAATTTCCACAATGAAAATTATGTCAGTTATTAACTATTGATTCTGATTTACAGCTCATTAACAAAAATATGAGTATATAAAAAAAAAATAAATCTAACTTAGCAAAATGAATATGTAATTTATAAGCCAGCTATGGTCAACATATTACTACGTATCTTCATATATTAATTTTATAGCCGGTCCCACATCTCTTGATAAAGTTATATACATCTAACCAGATGGAGAGATCTGGTTAATTAAGCTTGAAACATATTGACTATACGAGGATCATTAAGGCCGCATTTGCCAAGGTTACTTCAACATCTAATGTACGGCTCAAGATAAATTCTCGGTGTATATATACACAGACATACACCTCTGTGTATATACAATGAATGACATACATCTTTCTCTGTATAAACACAGAGACACCTCTTAATATTCATAACTTTGAAATATGAACTTTAGTTGATTAATGGGGTTTAAAGCCTATCGCCTGTAAATGGGTCGTTAAAACCACACGTAATTTTTTCACCACTAGGCAAGAATACTGAAGTTGTTCGGTAAGACACATATGCAACAGTTAGGTATCTTTATTTCGAAACGTTTCGCCTACACAGTAGGGTTCTTCAGTCGAGTACAGAAAAGTTGATAGAAGCAGAAGATACTTGAAGACGATGTAATCAGTCCATCACCCTTAAAGTTTTGAGGTGGTCAGTCCCTCAGTCTGGAAAAGAATATTGTTTCAGACTATGGAACAATACTCTTCTCCAGACTGAGGGACTGACCACCTCAAAACTTTAAGGGTGATGGACTGATTACATCGTCTTCAAGTATCTTCTGCTTCTATCAACTTTTCTGTACTCGACTGAAGAACCCTACTGTGTAGGCGAAACGTTTCGAAATAAAGATACCTAACTGTTGCATATGTGTCTTACCTAACAATCTGTCGGTATTTTATACCATTTTAATGTTCAATACTGAAGTTGAATTTCTATAATAGCTATATGTATATGTATGTACATAACTCAAGGCATTTTGCACTGTTGTTAGAGCTTAGGAGGAACTGAGGAAATTCAGAAACGAACTTAAGACGGTAACCGAGAGGCAGTGGAATAAAGATAACTATGTTGATGCCTTTGTCAACATAAGGACTACTCTAATATATAGGCAGACAGATAGATAGAGTCTCACTTTGTACTTGTCGTCCTCTTCGGTGCAGGAGACAGCCTGTGAGTCGTCGGAAGTGACATTAGAAGAGCGGATCTGGCGATAGACAGTGCTGGTCTCTGAGCTGGGTTTGGTAGTTGTGGTGGTTGTAGTGGTGCTGGTGGTGTTGCCAGTGTTCTCCCAGCGGTCTACCACGTTCTTCATTGCTTGGTCCCACTCCTGCCATGAGTCTTTGAAGAATGGGTCATCACTGAAGGTGCCGCGCTTCTGCACTGTAACAGTCTTGGTCGTCTTGGTGCCAACCATCTTGTCGTTACAACGACTTCTGCCTCTAAAAGTAAACAAGACTGAGTACATTATGTATCAATCGTTTTTTATATACATACAACGACAAAGTGTTAGGAAATTAGAAGACGACGTGGGATAACCAAATGTATAATTCAGAGGGCAGAGGAGGCGTTGTAGAGGTGGTTTGGTCATTTGAAGATGATAGAACAGAATAAGATGACTGAGTATACAAATCTTGGTTATTAGGTAAGACACATATGCAACAGTTATGTGTCTTACCTAACAACATGTCGGTATTTTATACCATTTTAATATTCAAATCTGTGTTAGTAGGAAGGAAGGATAGGAGTTGTATCAGGTAGGGTTGGAGGGAGTGTAAATGAGGTCTTGAGTGCTAGGGACTAATAGGCTTGTATAAGCGCATTAATAAGAGTAATTCCAGAAAAGTGGTTTTTATGTACTTAAGAGGCTGAGGATCTTCCATTTCGGAAGGTCGTCTGAACTAAGATGTCGGAATACTTCTGGGAAGAAAGCATTTAAGTGAACGATGGTGAGTGTTTCATCTTTTATGGGTCACCCTACATCGGAGGGACACGGCTTTACACGCACGCGCACACGCACGCCTCTGTATAAGTGGTTGCAGGGGTCAAGTCTCAGTGTGTGTGTGTGTGTGTGTGTTAGTTACCATTGGCAGTATACACTTTACCAAGAACACCACAAACACTCCCTCTCACATCTCGTATGAAAGTTTGGATAATGGATACACTCGTGTGTGAACCACTTGACTTGTATTAATATTGGTAGAATTACTGACAATATGTTAAGTAAAAGGACACAAGTGCAACTAATGTGACATTTTATTGTGGCAACGGCTTGACAAAGCTCCTGGAGAGCGGAACGTTGCCACAATAAAATGTTACGTTAGTTGCAGTTGTGTCCTTTTACCTAACACCTGACTGTTGCTATCACAATCTCGTATGGTGTATGTGTATGTATGAGCTAGTACGCGTATATGTGCGTCTGTCTCAATATAATATTCAAGTTTATAAATAACACGGGAAACATTTTCTGAGTCTTGATTGATTTGACAAAACTGTAATATGTGGGAACAGGTGGGATTAGGGAGGGAGGGAGGAGAGCAGCTGGCATCCCTCCAAGACAAGTGTGGGCGTGGCTGTATAGCCTCCATATATGGGCATATGTCGGCATTAATGTTTATGGGCGTGCATGTGGGCATGTATGCGAACATGTGTTTGGGCATGTATATATGCAAATGTTCGTGGGCGTGTATGCGTGCCTTTATGCATGTGTGTGGGGGGGGGGGGTGAAAGAGGAAGCAGTTACTGAGATGGGTGTGGATGTGGGTGTGGACGTGTGGGTGTGAGTGTGGGCATGTTGATGTGGACGGACAGTTATTGCAATAAAGTTTTTATTCAGATTATTAACTAACAAGATAAGCAACAAACACCACTATGGCTTATTACCGTTGAGCTCATTAAGTGCTCATCTCTAGGTACTACCTCAGCAACATCCGGGTACTTACTGCTGAGTGAACAGGGACGCTAGGTGGGTGTAAGGATACTTGCCTAGTTGCCATAAAACCAGCACCCCGGAAAGGAACCTAGTGACGACGTTTTGCCCCGTCGTGTTGCTGTGCTATTTATTCCTCATAGATCTGTTTATGATAGGATGAAGAGGCAAACACTGCTCAGGAGGCGGGAAACGGGTTCACCAGGGCGTAGATGAGGTTTAAAAATGTAAACGAGTCACTGGTATACAAAAAGAAATGTTGAAAGCAGACTCCATATACAGCTTTAAGAATTTGTATGGTAAAACCTCCCCGCCCAGTGACGACCAGCTTAGAGGCGAGACCAGGAGACGAGTGTCAACCCCAGCAACCAGGAATGACTAACGTCTGTTTCCCTGAAAAAAAGTACGTATGGGCCAGCTGAGGCTCAGCGCCGTGACCTATAATTTCACTTTAATATCGTAGAGCGACTCTACAGCACATTCATCAGACATCAGCTCATCGTCCTAAGTAACGTTATATTATAAAAGATTGACAAAAAAATTGCTGAAAGACGTGTTCGCCAGTGAAGATAATAGTGTTGTGTCAGTGACGTTCACTGACGTGCGATGTTCCCCAGGCCACAAGTGCTGCACCTACAACTATTCGCTCTTGGATTCCTGACCCATCTTACAGGCCTCATCTACTTCTATGAGTGGGCCCCACCTGCATTTAACCACGTCTTCAGCTGCTGCACCTTTCCACTTCTTCCAAAATTTAAGAACATAAGAAAGAAGGAACACTGCAGCAGACCTACTGACCCATGCGAAGCAGGTCCATGTCCCCCGTCCGGATAAGCCCAATGACCCGTTTAGTCGGGTCACTTCCACTTAAGGAAGGAGCACGGCATCAGACCTTGTCAGGTCCAACTCACACCCACCCACACCCACTCGTGTATTTATTTAACCTATTTTTAAAACTACACAACGTTTTAGCCTCTATAACTGTACTCAGGAGTTTGTTCCACTCATCCACAACTCTATTACCAAACCAGTGCTTTCCTATATTCTTCCTGAATCTGAATTTCTCCAACTTGAAACCATTGCTGTGAGTCCTGTCTTGGCTGGAAAATTTCAGCACGCTATTTACATCCCCTTTATTTATTCCTGTTTTCCATTTATACACCTCGATCATATCCCCCCTAATTCTACGCCTTTCGAGAGAGAGTGCAGATTCAGGGCCCTCAGTCTATCCTCACAGGGAAGATTTCTGATACATGGGATCAACTTTGTCATCCTCCTCTGTACGTTTTCCAGTGCATTTATATCCATTCTGTAATACGGTGACCAGAACTGTGTAGCATAATCTAAATGAGGCCTAACCAAGGATATATAGAGTTGAAGAACAACCTGAGGACTTCTATTATTTATACTTCTGAATATGAAGCCAAGGATTCTGTTAGCTTTATTGCGAACACTAATGCACTGTTGTCTTGGTTTTAGATTACTGCTAACCAGAACTCCTAAATCCTTTACGCAATCAGTAGTATTAAGATCTACATTATTTAGTTTTATATTGGCAATGGTTATTTTCCCGTAACTTTATAAAAAAAAGCCTTTTCTGTTTAACCTAAAAACTCTTTTTGGGGGGAAAAAAAGGGTACTTTATTGTTTTTTTATTGGCCGTTAATGGTACCTTTTTACTTTTAGTTTTAAATGTCTTCTGATTACCTAAACTGTAGATAAAAACTGGATGGTAACGTTAATAAAATAACCGTGTTTTCCATTGTTTAACTTTTCAATTCCTAACTGTTTTAAAATTTTAAGGAAAAACGTTGCGTTTATTTTATCCACCCGACCGTTAAAAGGAACCTGTTATTCATTCACCGACCGTTAAAAAGGACCTGGAAATTTTAAAGTTATAGCACAGTCTTTCCTTTTACTGAAGAGGTACACATTCAGGGTGAAAAGCTTACAGGAAGGGAGTTTGCATTTTCCTGTTGTCATATGGGCATGACATTTTCTAGGGTGGTCATAGTTGCATGTCCCATCTGTTTTTCCAGATTTCCCATGCCAGCAGATACCAAGTGCATAGTATGTGCACAGGCTTGGTTTCCGTTTGCCTTGGGTTTCTGTGACTGTATTCCCTGTTGGTGCATGTTTCCCTGTCTTATTCCTATCCTCCTTAGCACCAACAATGGAGCTCCCACCAGTTGTTTTTGGTAATTTATCCTCACTATGGGTCGTTAAAATCACACGTAATTTTTTCACCACTAGGCAAGAATACTGAAGTTAGGTAAGACACATATGCAACAGTTACGTATCTTTATTTCGAAACGTTTCGCCTACACAGTAGGCTTCTTCAGTCGAGTACAGAAAAGTTGATAGAAGCAGAAGATACTTGAAGACGATGTAATCAGTCCATCACCCTTGAAGTTTTGAGGTGGTCAGTCCCTCAGTCTGAAACAATATTGTTTCAGACTATGGAACAATACTCTTCTCCAGACTGAGGGACTGACCACCTCAAAACTTCAAGGGTGATGGACTGATTACATCGTCTTCAAGTATCTTCTGCTTCTATCAACTTTTCTGTACTCGACTGAAGAAGCCTACTGTGTAGGCGAAACGTTCGAAATAAAGATACCTAACTGTTGCATATGTGTCTTACCTAACAACCTGTCGGTATTTTATACCATTTTAATGTTCAATACTGAAGTTGAATTTCTTTAATAGCTATATGTATATGTATGTACATAACTAAAGGGCATTTTGCACTGTTGTTAGAGCTTAGGAGGAACTGAGGAAATTCAGAAACGAACTTAAGACGGTAACCGAGAGGCAGTGGAATAAAGATAACTATGTTTATGCCTTTGTCAACATAAGGACTACTCTAATATATAGGCAGACAGATAGATAGAGTCTCACTTTGTACTTGTCGTCCTCTTCGGTGCAGGAGACAGCCTGTGAATCGTCGGAAGTGACATTAGAAGAGCGGATCTGGCGATAGACAGTGCTGGTCTCTGAGCTGGTTTGGTAGTTGTGGTGGTTGTAGTGGTGCTGGTGGTGTTGCCAGTGTTCTCCCAGCGGTCTACCACGTTCTTCATTGCTTGGTCCCACTCCTGCCATGAGTCTTTGAAGAATGGGTCATCACTGAAGGTGCCGCGCTTCTGCACTGTAACAGTCTTGGTCGTCTTGGTGCCAACCATCTTGTCGTTACAACGACTTCTGCCTCTAAAAGTAAACAAGACTGAGTACATTATGTATCAATCGTTTTGTATATACATACAACGACAAAGTGTTAGGAAATTAGAAGACGACGTGGGATAACCAAATGTATAATTCAGAGGGCAGAGGAGGCGTTGTAGAGGTGGTTTGGTCATTTTAAGATGATAGAACAGAATAAGATGACTGAGTATACAAATCTTGGTTATTAGGTAAGACACTTATGCAACAGTTAGGTGTCTTACCTAACAACATGTCGGTATTTTATACCATTTTAATATTCAAATCTGGGTTAGCAGGAAGGAAGGATAGGAGTTGTATCAGGTAGGGTTGGAGGGAGTGTAAATGAGGTCTTGAGTGTAGGGCTAATAGGTTGTATAGGCATTAATAAGATTTAGATTAGATTTTCCAGAAGTGGCTGTTTATTGTGACCCCTTCCTGTGGACGGTAGCCGAGAGCATATGGATCCAAAAGCCTAGAACTGGCCAAAGGTTAAGGAAAATATGGTTTATATTACTATCTATGTTCACTATCTGTACAAGCAAATTTAGGAAATTTGCTTATTATTGTATCTTATTTCATTTAAGATATTTGACATGCATTATAGAGAATTCAGAAAAGTGGTTTTAGTACTTAGAGGCTGAGGATCTTCCATTTCGGAAGGTCGTCTGAACTAAGATGTCAGAATACTTCTGGGAAGAAAGCATTTAAGTGAACGAGGGTGAGTGTTTCATCTTTTATGGGTCACCCTACATCGGAGGGACACGGCTTTACACGCGCGCGCACACGCACGCCTCTATAAGTGGTTGCAGGGGTCAAGTCTCAGTGTGTGTGTGTGTGTTAGTTACCATTGGCAGTATACACTTTACCAAGAACACCACAAACACTCCTCTCACATCTCGTATGAAAGTTTGGATAATGGGTACACTCGTGTGTGAACCACTTGACTTGTATTAATATTGGTAGAATTACTGACAATATGTTAAGTAAAAGGACACAAGTGCAACTAATGTGACATTTTATTGTGGCAACGGCTTGACAAAGCTCCTGGAGAGCGGAACGTTGCCACAATAAAATGTTACGTTAGTTGCAGTTGTGTCCTTTTACCTAACACCTGACTGTTGCTATCACAATCTCGTATGGTGTATGTGTATGTATGAGCTAGTACGCGTATATGTGCGTCTGTCTCAATATAATATTCAAGTTTATAAATAACACGGGAAACATTTTCTGAGTCTTGATTGATTTGACAAACTGTAATATGTGGGAACAGGTGGGATTAGGGAGGGAGGGAGGAGAGCAGCTGGCATCCCTCCAAGACAAGTGTGGGCGTGGCTGTATAGCCTCCATATATGGGCATATGTCGGCATTAATGTTTATGGGCGTGCATGTGGGCATGTATGCGAGCATGTGTTTGGGCATGTATATAGCAAATGTTCGTGGGCGTGTATGCGTGCCTTTATTGCATGTGTGTGGGGGGGGGGGTGAAGAGGAAGCAGTTACTGAGATGGGTGTGGATGTGGGTGTGGACGTGTGGGTGTGAGTGTGGGCATGTTGATGTGGACGGACAGTTATTGCAATAAAGTTTTTATTCAGATTATTAACTAACAAGATAAGCAACAAACACCACTATGGCTTATTACCGTTGAGCTCATTAAGTGCTCATCTCTAGGTACTACCTCAGCAACATCCGGGTACTTACTGCTGAGTGAACAGGGACGCTAGGTGGGTGTAAGGATACTTGCCTAGTTGCCATAAAACCAGCACCCCGGAAAGGAACCTAGTGACGACGTTTTGCCCCGTCGTGTTGCTGTGCTATTTATTCCTCATAGATCTGTTTATGATAGGATGAAGAGGCAAACACTGCTCAGGAGGCGGGAAACGGGTTCACCAGGGCGTAGATGAGGTTTAAAAATGTAAACGAGTCACTGGTATACAAAAAGAAATGTTGAAAGCAGACTCCATATACAGCTTAAGAATTTGTATAGTAAAAACCTCCCGCCCAGTGACGACCAGCTTAGAGGCGAGACCAGGAGACGAGTGTCAACCCCAGCAACCAGGAATGACTAACGTCTGTTTCCCTGAAAAAAAGTACGTATGGGACCAGCTGAGGCTCAGCGCCGTGACTATAATTTCACTTTAATATCGTAGAGCGACTCTACAGCACATTCATCAGACATCAGCTCATCGTCCTAAGTAACGTTATATTATAAAAGATTGACAAAAAAATTGCTGAAAGACGTGTTCGCCAGTGAAGATAATAGTGTTGTGTCAGTGACGTTCACTGACGTGCGATGTTCCCCAGGCCACAAGTGCAGCACCTACAACTATTCGCTCTTGGATTCCTGACCCATCTTACAGGCCTCATCTACTTTATGAGTGGGCCCCACCTGCATTTAACCACGTCTTCAGCTGCTGCACCTTTCCACTTCTTTTCCCAAAAAATTTTAAAAAACATAAGAAAGAAGGAACACTGCAGCAGACCCACCTGACCCATGCGAAGCAGGTCCATGTCCCCGTCCGGATAAGCCCAATGACCCGTTTAGTCGGGTCAAATTCACTTAAGGAAGGAGCACGGCATCAGACCTTGTCAGGTCCAACTCACACCCACCCCCAACCCCCTCGTGTATTTATTTAACCTATTTTTAAAACTACACAACGTTTTAGCCTCTATAACTGTATCAGGGGTTTGTTCACTCATCCACAACTCTATTACCAAACCAGTGCTTTCCTATATTCTTCCTGAATCTGAATTTCTCCAACTTGAAACCATTGCTGTGAGTCCTGTCTTGGCGGAAAATTTTAGCACGCTATTTACAATCCCCTTTATTTTATCCTGTTTTCCATTTATACACCCGATCATATCCCCCCTAATTCTAGCCTTTCGAGAGAGAGTGCAGATTCAGGGGCCCCCAGTCTATCCTCACAGGGAAGATTTCTGATACTGGGATCAACTTTGTCCCTCCTCCTCTGTTACGTTTTCCAGTGCATTTATATCCATTCTGTAATACGGTGACCAGAACTGTGTAGCATAATCTAAATGAGGCCTAACCAAGGATATATAGAGTTGAAGAACAACCTGAGGACTTCTATTATTTATACTTCTGAATATGAAGCCAAGGATTCTGTTAGCTTTTATTGCGAACACTAATGCACTGTTGTCTTGGTTTTAGATTACTGCTAACCAGAACTCCTAAATCCTTTACGCAATCAGTAGTATTAAGATCTACATTATTTAGTTTATATGTGGCATGGTTATTTTCCTGTCCAACTTTTACTATATAAAAGCCTCTATCCTCATGCCTCTTAACCTGATAAAACTACTGTGTGGAAGAATAAGGATACGTTGTATGTGTTATTCATCCTCCCGGCCGTTAATAAGGATACGCTGTGTATCCTTATAGTTCTACTGTCTTCTGATTATGTCCTAGAATCTGTATTGATAAAACCACTGGATGGTGAAACGTCTACAGTAAAGATAACCAGATGTTGCACATGTGTCTTAACTTTCATCCATCAGACTGTTAATAAGGATACGTTGCGTGTTATTCATCCACCAGACCGTTCATAAGGATACACTGTTATTCATTCACCTGACCGTTAATAAGGATACACTGTATTTCATCCACCTTGACCGTTAATAAGGATACGTTGTGTGTGTTATTCATCCACCAGACAGTTAATAAGGATACGCTGTGTTATTCATCCACTAGGCCGTTAATACATCCAGTATTGCGCCTCGTTTGATCTTCGGTACCATCCACTAGGCCGTTAATACATCCAGTATTGCGCCTCGTATGATCGTCGGTACCATCCACTAGGCCGATAATACATCCAGTATTGCACCTTCTTTGAGTCTCGGTACCATCCACTAGGCCGTTAATACATCCAGTATTGTTCCTTCTTTGAACCTCGGTACCATCCGCTCTAGGGACTCTATAACCCTTATAGATTCAGTGATTCTTTATGAATATAATAATTCGTTAATCTACGTTAACCTAACATAAAATAATGTACATTGACAAGTTGCGTATGGCACAGAATGTCGACGTTACTTTTTTTTTTTTTGTTAAGACTGCAAGATTGTGTAACACTTCTCCCACGATGCAGTGCCAGAATCACTGTCATGTCGCTACAGTGCTAAACTGACCGTGAACCTTTTACAAGGCCAGATTTATCATGCATAGCGCTTCTGGCACTATAGTACCAGAATCAGTGTGTTACACTTGTGGTCTGCTGGATCTGTCTACTGCACTTGTGGTCTGCTGTATCTGTCTACTGCACTTGTGGTCTGCTGGATCTGTCTACTGCACTTGTGGTCTGCTGGATCTGTCTACTGCAGTTGTGGTCTGCTGGATCTGTCTACTGCACTTGTGGTCTGCTGGACCTGCCCATTACGCTTGTAGTCTGCTAGATCTGTCTACTGCACTTGTGGTCTGCTGGACCTGTCCACTACACTCACCTACACAAAGCACTGAGAAATGTTGAAACACTTAGGAGACGTAGTGAAGTGTTGCGAATGTTGCACTCTCACGAGTCCTCAACAACTGTGGCGGCGGGCAATGCAGCGTGTGACCTTATATACCCACCTGTGTCCTCCCCACACTTTCCCACTAATACCCTCCGCCGCCTCCACCCTCACCTGCCCCTACAACTGCCCTCTGCATCCACTCCCCACCTTCAAACATCCCCTCCCCAGTGCCCCCCCTCTACAACACTACCCCCTCACCAATCCTCTCCCCATCCCACCACGTCTCACGCCCAATGTTCTACACTGCCCCGCCCCACCCACACCACCACCCGCCCATTACTCTCTCGCCTCCTTTAATAACACCTGCTGGTGTTGTCACTATAGTCCTTGTAAATTCACACTTGAAGATTCAGACACTTATGCAACATATGGGAATCTTTATTGAGGAGACGTTTCGCCACACAGTGGCTTCATCAGTCCAATACAAAGCAGAAAGGTGTAAGGAGAGGAGGAGTTTGAGGTAATCAGTCCCTCAGCCTGGAGTCGATGTGTTCAGTCCATCAAACTTGTAGAATGTGGCGATACGTTTCCTCAATAAAGATTCCCATGTTTTGCATAAGTGTCTCAGTCTTCAACTTGTCGGTTTTCAAAACCATTCATCACAAATTCACACTTGTTGCTTAACACTGACAGTTACACTGACTAATAGTACTACACGTAAAAAAGGAACAATTTCGTCTATACTTACCTATGTGTGGTTGCAGGGGTCGAGTCTTGGCTCGCGAGCTCTTCTCTTCGCTGGCTACTAGCGGATTAACTCACTTCTGGTTTCGAGAGTCCCATCATATCTTTTCTTAAAACTATGTATGGATCTTGTCTATACCATTCCACTGTCCTCGTCGTTACACTTCTTGACATCTCTAAAGAAATACTTCTAACAGTCTTGTGATTCATGTGTGTTTTCAGCTTCCAGTTGTGCCTTAGTGTTCCTGTTTCCCAACTCTCAAACAATCTGTCCCTGTCCACCCTACCAATTCCTCTCAGTATTTTGCACGTTCTTATATCACTCCTAGTCTTTTTTTTTCATATTGTGAGGTTTAACTCCATTAAAGTCTCCCATGATCAGCAGCTGTACATTGTTCATATATGGGCTGTTTTGACTATCTCTGCTATTATTTTCAACTTTGTTCGGTTATCTTATTATCTTAGTCTCCTGGTGTTTAGTGGAGGATTGTACATCACTGTTACCACCCATCATCTTGAATGTGCTTACTATGTAGTCATTTACCTTTTTTTTCTGTTTATTCTTCTCATCTCAAAACTCTACTGGTTTCTGATTAATAGCACTACACCTCTCTTCCCTCTCTCTTTATTCATAATCTAATATTCATCTGGGAATATCACATCTGTTATCGTCATAGTGATCTTTGAGGAAATGGTATGGTGATACCGACAAGATGTGGAAAAAGACACTTATGTACAGTTCAGGAGATTTATTAAAGGAAACGTTTCGCCACGAGTGGCTTCTTCAGTCCTAATACAGAGAAAACTAAGAAAACACACATATATATAGTGGCACAAGTGCAGGAATCTACACTGTACCATGTGGGGGGTGTGACAAAGTATATGTAGGGGAAACAGCCAGAACTCTGGACATTAGGATAGCAGAACACAAAAATGCTTGCAGAAATGATGACCGCAAAAACTCATGTGTTCAACATAGAGACGATGTTGGACACCTCATGAAATTCAATGAAGCTAAACTAGTTATTAAAGAAGACGACTTAAGACGGAGAAAATGCATTGAAGCTGCACTAATTTCTGTCAGTAACACTATAAAGCAAAAATCCGGTAGTTACAGTATTTCAAAATTACTAAGCAAGAGGATATTACCCATCCTGGGAACTGGTGTTACTTGATGCCAGCAGGTCCCTCTCTTGCCTCACCTCCTTAGTTCCATTACTACTACTACTACTACTACCACCTCTACCCACGCATCACCTCACCTGACTCCCGCCACTATATATATGTGTGTTTTCTTAGTTTTCTCTGTATTAGGACTGAAGAAGCCACTCGTGGCGAAACGTTTCCTTTAATAAATGTCCTGAACTGTACATAAGTGTCTTTTTCCACATAGTGATCTTTGTTTATGTCTGGGAGATGCGTCCACTACTTGTTCATTCCATTCTTCACTCTTAATTGTTATTTCATCTGCATTTGTGTACCATCTTTCAGTTTCCATTCTGTTATTGGGTTACAGTGTTGAGGGTTTGTGTGTGTGTGTGTGATGTTACAATGGTAAAAATATTCTGATGGTTGCTCGTTCTCTATAATTAAATTATCATGCATATACATTGTGATGCTTCCGAAGGATGTGACAAACCGTCTCTTTTAGTTTCCTGCAGCTGTGTATTATTTTCAAGACTTTGTTGTCCTGTTTATTACGTACAGCTGTCGTCCGTTTTAGTGCAGTGAAACAAACAACACCTCTCTCTCTCTCTCTCTCTCTCTCTCTCTCTCTCTCTCAGAGCACTTCCGATACATATTCTAGTTTCCTTCTAACTAGCGCTTATTATTTTTTACAGTCTTTCCACTCGTATACTTAAAAGGTATCTTGATATTTGACAGAATTGCATAAGATGGTGTGGGTGTGCGTGCCCACAAGTGCACATGTACTCTCCTGTATGTGGTTGTAAGGGTCGATTCTTAGATCCTGGTCCCACTTTTCAGTTTGCCGCTCGCACGCATGCGTGTGTACACTCACCTATTTGTGGTTGCAGGGATCGATTCACAGCTCCTGGCTCCTGGTGTATGTGTGTGTGTATGTGTTGGCGTCTTCATCTCTGACGTAACACTACGTCATACACTATTGGGGTGGCTGACTCATGGCTGCCCACGCTGCCACTGACGCTGACAACTTACCCACTTAGCGTTACACTTAAGGCAACCTGCGTGCCCACACCTGTGTTCCCCTCACCTACGTGCCCCCACCTGCATTATGAAACCAGCAAAATGTGGACAGTTGTGGGCAGTGTGTGGCGAGGGCAGCCGGGACTGGGCATGCCAGATGCTGGTAGTGACACCTGCCCTACATGCCTTGAGCACACCACACTACCATCACCAAAAATAGACAATAAAATCCAGGGATCACAGGTGAGGCGGGGCTGGGGAGGAGGTGCAGGTGAGGTGGGACTGGGGAGGAGGTGCAGGTGAGGCGGGGCTGGGGAGAAGGTGCAGGTGAGGCGGGGCATGAATTCCTTATTTATAAAAAAGTGCAAAATACCACAGGCACCAGCACTCAGAATCCTTTGGAGAAAGTCTTTAGATCTGTATGAAATCCCAAAGGCCTTAAAGAGTGTAGACATATCTCCTTTGCATAAAGAAAGCAGTACAGTGCTAACCGAAAATGACAAACTAGTAGCCGTAACATCATATATGATGGAAGTTTTTGAAAGGGTGATGAGATGTCAAAGTGCAAATTTTTATTGTACAGCGCAACCCAAACCAGCATGGATTTAGAGTGGGAAGATCATGCTTGTCATAACTACAAGGTCACCATGATAGAATTGCGGAGGCATTGGAAGGAAACTAAAACGCAGATGTAGTATACATGGATTTCGCAAAGGCATTTGACAGCTGTGATCATGGGGGTAATTGTACACAAAATGAGGGAGATAGGTATAATGGATAAAGCAGGCAATAAATATTGAATTTTCTGACAGAACACAGAGTGGTAGTTAACAGAAAAAATCAGCATTAGCACAGTAAAAAAAAAAAAAACCTCAGGACCAAGGCACGGTCCTGGCGCCTCTACTGTTTCTTATCCTCAGAGCGGACATAGAAACCACTCGCCAAGGTTTGGTATTATCTGTTAATGGTACCAAAATAAGCGTGAAAACCACCTTGGAAGAAGACAAGAAAAAGTAGCAAGAATTTATAAGCAGTCTCCCAATGGGTATTGGAAAATAACGTGACGTGTAATGGTGACAAGTTCCAGCTGCTTAGATACAGAAAGAATGAGAAACTAAAACGAATACTGTATGCATAACGCAAGAGCATCACCAAATAGAACTAAAGGAACATGCGAAGGATACGGGAGTAATTATGTCAGCTGACCTTTTTAAAAAATACGATGAGGTAAATGTCGCGTCAGCCATATAATTGACGGGGTGGATAATAAGAACTTCCAAAACAAAGAAAATATTTCGAATGGTGATACTATTTAAATCGCTTTTGCTCGCTAAGAGTATCGTTGGGAGTTGACGGCGCCATTCAGGGCATGGAAGATATCACAGTTGACGGCGCCATTCAGGGCAGGGAAGATATCACAGTTGACGGCGCCATTCAGGGCAGGGAAGATATCACAGTTGACGGCGCCATTCAGGGCAGGGAAGATATCACAGTTGACGGCGCCATTCAGGGCAGGGAAGATATCACAGTTGACGGCGCCATTCAGGGCAGCGAAGATATCACAGTTGACGGCCCCATTCAGGGCAGGGAAGATATCACAGTTGACGGCGCCATTCAGGGCAGGGAAGATATCACAGTTGACGGCGCCATTCAGGGCAGGGAAGATATCACAGTTGACGGCGCCATTCAGGGCAGGGAAGATATCACAGTTGACGGCGCCATTCAGGGCAGGGAAGATATCACAGTTGACGGCGCCATTCAGGGCAGGGAAGATATCACAGTTGACGGCGCCATTCAGGGCAGGGAAGATATCAGAGCTGGAACAGATGCAGAAATCATTTACGGCCCGCATAAAGCATTTAAATTACTGGGAACGCCTCAAAGTCTTAAATATGTACTCGATGGAGAGAGAGATGTTAATATATACGTGGAAAATACGTGAGGGCCTAGTCCTAGATCTGCACACTGCTATAACAATGTACTGGAGTGAGATATATGGAGATGTAAAATAAAATGGTATAGATTTGGTCACGACAAGAACAACTGGGAAGCAGGCTTCATAAAACAACTGATAACAACACTGTTACTGGTAGGACAACCTGCTTTCAAACCAGTGTATACACACACACACACACACACACACATACACACACACACACACATGCATAGGATCCTTACAAAGCTTTAAGATAAGGTATGGTAAAGTTCACGGAGCAGGGAGTGACCTAGTAGCGACCAGT